GCATCCGTGCCGCCTTTGGATAGGTTTCACTACTTTCAAAGCTTTAAAAACAATATTTAATCAAATTCGATATAAATGGTTATTTCTGAAATAAAGTAACGCCACATTTTACTTTGTAAAAATTTGTTGGTATTGAATAAGATTGATAAATAATAATATACTTCAAAGATAAGTAATAAAAAATTGTAATTAATACTACTACTATTAGAAATTGATTTAAGTAAATTAATTACTTAATTTTATAATTTTACAAAAGCATTCATGCAACTTTTTACTTTGTTAAAAGTGTTTTTTGTTAGATTTCACTTATCTCAAAGTAAGCTCTAATTAATAGATTCATGTAAAACGTAGTTTATGGTTGTTTGCTAACTAGTGAATTTTTTTGTATAATTATTAATTTATTAATTATTAATAAATTAATATAAAATTAATTATTAATTAACATTTTTTAATTTTACTTTGAAAACTACTTAAAAATGTTAATTGATTATATATTTTTGTTATTACATTGCTTTTTTCAATTATACACTGTAGAAATATTGAAAAAAGTCGTACATAAATAAACACATATATTACTTAATAGAATAGAAAATGGAAATTTATTAAAAATGCATGTTTCCCTAAGGAAAAAAACTAAATATATATGATAGAATTTTACATAATAAATCATAGAAATGAAATTATAATTATTATGTTCTTTACAAAATTAATCACTTTTTTTTTGGTGCTTTAATTTGTTCTAAAAATATTATATATATATCTTTCGAGCCTTTAGGCCATGATTTTTTTATACATTTGGAATCAGAAGTATGAAACCAGTAAGTTTCTTCGCGTAATACATTAAAATAATACCCACTTTCCAAACTTGGTCCAGAATGAAAAATTGCACTTATTACCCTAAAACATTTATTATCAATAAAAAGTTTCGTCTTTGGCACATCATTAATCTTGAATCCGGTGAATTTATTATTGTGAGAAAACAACGACAGCCTAATTATTAAAATTTTTTCCAAATCGATACTGAGATATACTTTTTTTTGTTTTTTATATTTACAATTATTATGATAATTTTCTTGAATGTCGCGCCATACATTAATATTTTCATCAATAATTTGCTGCACCGTACACTGGACTTTACTTAATTCGCGACGCGGGAAATTTAAAATTGGAAATAAGCTACGTCGTTTGAGCACCACTGTACCCGACCGAGGTTAGATCACAGTTTTTACCTATGAAGATGCAAGGTTTATGCTTCAAGTATAATAGGCTATTCACGAGTTTTGGTTGGCAAGAATTAAGACAAATTTGGCGCATAGATTAAAAGAGAAGCAGCAAACAGTGCAGGGCAGCAAAGGACCAAAGAAGAATTCAACAGTCAGATAAGTATCATTAATTCACATTATTACAAAGTTTCCAAATAAGATAAATTTACTTTGTGTGACTTTGCAGGTCTCGAACGGAGAGAGTATTTAGAAAATATAGAGCACTTGGTACCAGCAATTCCTGGCAACAGATCGATTCTCTGATTAAGACTAATCAGAGTCATTCAAGAAAGCCTAGCCATATATCAAGAAACTGTCAGTGGTAGTAGCAGAGAGAGAAGCAAATAATGGAGAAGATAATGAAGAAGACAGTGAATCATTGGAGAAAGCTGTGCTTCAAGACTTTCTAAACAACAGCAATGCTTCAGAAGAAATAATTGAATTTGTTCATAGACTGTAGAGGGATTCGTGTCAAGTACAATTATTATGCAGTGTATTTGTTATAAAAATGTACGACTATATTATGTGGTTAGTGAAAGTATGAGTGACAAGTTAGTGATAGAAAATGTATCATTTAAATTACGTTATTTATTTCTTAGCTACCTTTTATATGAAATAATAGAATACATTTTGAATGCATGGACAATGAAATCTTGTTACATTTAGAGTGATCTATCTTTGATGTTGTAGAATTCTTGTCCATGCATTCAAAATGAATTCTATTAGTTTGTATAAAAGGTAGCTAAAAGATAAATAACGTATTAAAATGATCCATCTTTTTATTACTAACTTTTTTATCACTGCATAATAATTATGCTTGACTCGATGCTCTCTACAGTGTATGAAAAAATGTAATATACTTCTCTATGAAACACATTGCTAGAAGATTTTTCAGTGTTGTCACCAGGAGTACTGCACATGGACAGTCTTTTCTCTTAAATCTTAAATGCCTATGAATTAATTAATTATTAAAAATCATTTGTCAGTGAGTGAAAGCTCTACTATTTAGCTCTAGAAACACTAGAAAAAAATTCCATTTGTTGAAACTGGAACATATGTTATGAAATGTATCAATATTTGAAATAAAACACTTACAATTCTTAAAAACGTGTAATATTTATTCTTCATTAAAATTACATTTTGCAATTTAGTTTTTAGTATAAGGTATTTTGAATTAATAAAACATTTGACCACGTAACTGTACTTTACATAAAAATTTTTTGTATATCAATATAAAATAATATATCAAATGAACATTTAATTTATTTAATCAAATTCTAATTGCGCCCTGAAAAATATTTGTTGGTTCATCTCACATAATCCAGATAATGAATGAAAGAACATCCCTTATATCCCTATTGGTATCAAGTAAATTCTCAATACTGTTCGCTCTGCAGGTGCTTCTGGACTGGAACTTCAAGCTCTGTATACAAATATAACAATATATTAAGTTTTAATAATTTATATTCGGTATGCATTAAATGCTTCATAAACATACTTTGGTGCGGTACAAAATTACGATTCCTGGGGCCATCTATGCCCGACAATCCTTTAATATATTATTGGATTATTTTATTTAAAATAAACCGATTTTTTAATATTTTGTTTGTCCACCTGATGCATCGATGGCATTTTGAAACCTTCTTGGCATCGAGTCAGTTAGACGACGAAAATATTCTTTATCGTCAGCTAAGGCTAGCCATGCATCGACTACTTTCTGCTGTAGTTGTAGTTGTTGCTCTTGCGGTGTCCAGTTCTTAACCATTTTTGCCCAAACATTTTCAATATAGTTGAAATCGGGGGAGTTAGGCGGGTGAGGTAATCGCACAATATTTGGATGCTCCTCGTACCAACGTTTATTATTCGAGCTGTTACGTCGCAACACGATACATATGTATTAACGCATACGTATACGACTCAGACATGTATTTTTAAATTAAGTTAGCTGCGCGCGCAGCTAAAGCGTGTCTGTGTGTGTGTGTGTGTGAGGTGCTAGGGCCTTAAGCCTAGCGTGGTGGCAGCACCTTACGGCGCTGTGCCACTCGCGCCAAGCATGGCGAAATTTGCCGGTGTAACCGGCAGTCGTCGACGACATCGTCTCACGTGCGGAGCTCCCTCGCGCCTTCACGTTCTCGGCAACGTTCTCGTGCACCCACGTGCAACATCACTTGTATTACCCACGTAATACAAGGTTCTCGTCCACTCACGTGGTCCATTCTATCATTTTATTGTAATTCGGATGCGTGACAGTGATTGTGAATTCATCGTGTATCAATTTTCTTTGTGTGAGAGCGTGTGAGTGCGTGCATGGTAACGACCATTGTCTCCGCGCGACGTCTCTATCCCGCGTTATCTTCACAAATGTAATTTCCAGTTTTCATTTAATTAAAGAGGGTTTTTTATGCCGTTACGGCTTTTTCCCTTAAACAGTGTTCAGTGATTTCCCTCTCATCATTCTAATAAATCAAAAAATCTAACTACGATAACTAGGTCAGCAATCAAGGACAAATTCAAAAACTAGAGCGATTTACTTCGCCAAGGAAGTCGTTCGCGATAACTTATGGTGCCTCCTGTGAGGTAGTTTTCTACCTCTTTCTCTCCTTTTTTTTTCATTCTCGGAAAAGGGGACGTCGCGCGAGTGCAAGTGTGTGAGAGTGTGTGGGGAGGGAAAAGTGCATATAAAAAAACGCGCGCAACGTGCACCGACAAGTGCAGCCCGCCAAATTTATCTTCTCTCTCGCTCGCTCTCCCGCCGTTCATTTGCACCTCGTGCAATTGCCTACACTCGGCGCGCGCGACAGCGCGCGCAAACACTCAGCGTGCGCAACAGCCTGCGCAGTCACCCAGCGTGTGCAGCAACCTACGCAGTCGTCAGTGCCGATCAGCATTGCCATCGCTTCCGACTAGGGGGACTTGCACGCAGCGGCCACCAACATCGTTTTCCATTAACTAAGATAAGTGTTCTTCTTCCTTTTCTCGCTCTCTCTGCTTCAATAAATAAACATACGCTTGCGAACAAACGGTTTCGCTTTCCACTTATAATGATTAATTCCATTTTAATTGAGTTAATTCTAGCGTTTTGGTTTCTTTTTTGATTTTTGTTGTCTGCTTCTTGTCAAATTAAGTAAATCAATCAAACTAAAATTCGATCGCGCATTGATTAGTACTCGAGTCATTGTTAGCATTTCATGTTTATTCGAATTTAGCAAGCAATTTACAATCCACTAGGGATTAATTACCATTAAATAAGTTTGTAGACAATTGTTTGACATTGTTTAATTATTCAGTTAGAATTTCGTTGTCCGTTTCAATCATATGTTTTTTCTCTTTTCTTCTTTGAAACCTCAATTAACGTCAATTTCAATTTGATTCATATCGCGTTATTTTGATCCAATAAATACTCAAAATGAATAACGACGAAGTTATTCCAGTCAGCGGCAACGCAGAAAAACGCTTAATTTATATCGAACAGAAATTTAATAGGTTTACAAAAACGTTGAAATCCCTCAAAGAATACTTAGCAAGGGGATCGCCAGATGCGACGAACGCGGAGTTACGAATAAATTCCCTTTCGACCATATATCAAGGTTATTCAGCGAATCGCGAAGAACTTCTTTCGATGCAACCCGAGCATCCCCACATTGCTGTATTCGACGAACTCGAATCAGAATATTTCGAAGTAGCGAGTCGAATATCGAAAATGAACAAACCCCAGCGATCCCTCTCGCGAATTCCACTATGCTCAACGGAAATAACACCGCTACCTTCATCGAGAGAACTGACGTGGCGAAACTCGCACCGTTGACGGTACCCAAATTCGATGGGAACCACAAAAACTGGGTCCCCTGGAAGGCCAACTTCCAAGCGCTTATACACGATCGTCCAGGAATGGCGGGAAGCGTCAAACTGTCCCAACTTCAAAATGCAGTTCAGGGTTTAGCAGCGACCGTAATAAAGGAATTCTGTCTTGACCCCAGCGACGTCAGCTACGGCTTAGCTTGGGAAGCGTTATGCAACGCTTACGATCAACGACGTGTTCTGGTCAACGAGCACTTCGACGCTCTGCTAAAGTTAGCTCCCGTTCAAAATCCAACAGCCGAAACCACAGCCACCCTTATGTACACCGTCCGTCAGCACGTCAGCATGCTCAAAACAATGAACATTGCGATCTGCGACGAGTTTGTCTTGCGAATTCTCGAGAGATGCCTGCCCGGGTATCTCCTGTCGCGATGGATGGATAAACACTCAAATCGCGAAATCCCCAAATTGGAAGAGTTATACATCTTCGTTCAGGATTCAATATTTAAACAATGAGCGATAGGTGAACTTCCGAAACGAGACTACCAGTCCAAAAGAAAGGGGGCAGGCAGCAAGGCAGAACCCCCGGCAAAGGTCTCCAAAAACATTGCCAACACACTCGTTACTACCTCGACGACCAGCAACAACGCGTGCGTCCAATGCGGTCAATCCCACAGGCTCTACAAATGCGAAAAGTTCAATAAAGCGAAATTGAACGAAAGGTGGGAACTCGTCAAAGCAAAGGGGTTATGTCGCAATTGCTTATACGTCCACTCCGCTTCCTGTACCAGCGAAAAAAGGTGCAAAAAATGTCATAAGGATCATCATACCCTTCTACACGCAGATAAAAAATCAGGTTCATCTACCCCTCAACCCGCGAACGATTCAAAACCGTCCGGGACGTCTCAGTCATGACTAAGCCACCAAACATTCGCGTCAAGCGCATACCTTCCCGATTCTCAACTTATGACTACAGCAGTTTTAAGCTTTCAGTCAAGCCGAGGAAAACATCTCATGGCACGCTCACTACTAGATTCATGTTCTAACGCAAACTTAATGACTCAATCTCTTATCAATCGTTTACAATTACCAGTTAAACAATGCTTTGTGAATATCGGAGCAATAGACAATGCGAATATTGTCTCAGAAAAATACACTACTGCCACTTTCTATTCTACATATAATGATTCTAAATATCAATTAAACTTTTTGATTGTACCTAAAATAGCTGAGAAGGTGCCTAATGAGTCTTTCCCTCGGGAGAAATTCAACATCCCCAAGAACATCAAATTAGCAGATCCCCAATTTCACATACCCAGACCGGTCGATGTCTTGCTAGCGTCAGGTCCAACTCTGTCTTCTCTTGCCATAGGGCAAATCAATTCCCAACTCCGTTTCGTGCAATACAGTGAGGTTAGATTCACACCTAGAAAGATTCATGGCGATGGAAGAAATGGATTATCAACCCATCAAGTCAGAAGAGGACGTAGCATGCGAAAGGTACTACGTTCAAACCACGACACGCGACGCTTCGGGTCGCTATATCGTTCGTCTGCCGTTTCGATCAGGCAAATTCGAACTAGGTTTGTCAAAACACCAAGCGTTACAGCGTTTTCAGGCGTTGCAGCGCAAATTTGATGCTAACTCCAGGTTCCGAGCAGAGTACGAAAGGGAATTCAACGGGTACCTGGAACTTGGCCACATGACGCTGTGCGAGGACGACAACAACGATGGTTACTACTTGCCTCACCACGCGGTGATCAAAGAGTCCAGCGAAACGACGAAATGTCGTGTCGTTTTCGACGCTTCTGCAAAATCCTCCACGGGCATTTCGTTGAACGATATGCTGTTGACTAGACCGACCATTCAGGAAACTCTGTGGAAGCAAGTTTTGCGATTCCGTTCTCATCCCTTCGTCATCACTGCCGACATCGAAAAGATGTACCGACAAATCTGTCTTCATCCCGACGATAGGAAGTTCCAGAAGATCTTGTGGTACCACGAAGGCGAAGTTCGAACCTTCGTTCTCAACGTTGTAACTTTCGGGGTGAAGTGTGCTCCTTTTCTCGCAATTCGAACATTGCATCAATTAGCCGTTGATGAAGAGAGCAGATTCCCAAGAGCGGCAATGCTACTTCGTCGAGACTTCTACGTTGACGATTTCCTTTCAGGTGCAGACACGCTGGAGGACATCATGAAGATTCGCGACGAGATGATCAAACTTTTAAGTCGTGGGGGGTTCGTGATACGAAAATGGTCTTCGAACCATTCGTCGGCTTTAGACAACATCGATAAAAACATCTTCGATTTAGATTGCGGCATACAAGGGAACCCCATAAAGAAGACTCTCGGAATCATCTGGGACTCACAACGAGATGTCTTCACGTATTCCACGAGCCCTGATGCGTTAGCTTCTACCAAAAGAAAACTCCTTTCCCAGATTGCGAGGATCTTCGATCCTTTAGGCTTATTAGGTCCTTTAACCCTGTATGCCAAAACATTAATTCAGGAATGTTGGAAAGCTAACATTACCTGGGACGAATCTCTACCTCAAGACATCCACACCAAGTGGATCGCTTTAGCTGAACAACTTCCCTTAGTGCGAGAAGTCGCGTTACCAAGGTATCTGCGATATGACGTTGCGAACCCAGTATCCACCGAGATACACGGTTTTTGCGACGCGTCGATAAAGGGATACGGCGCGTGCATCTACATTCGTTCCGTTGACTCTGCGGGAAATGTCACTGTTAGGTTAGCTTGCAGTAAATCCAAGGTTGCTTCGCTTAGCCATCACACCATACCTCGTTTGGAACTCTCTGGCGCTGCCCTTCTGAAGGGACTATATGTCGAACTGGTGACCCAGCTGACTTTCAATATCGCGCGAACAATTCTTAGAACAGACTCAAAAATCGTTCTCTGCTGGTTAGGCAAAGCTCCTCATCTACTTAAAACTTACGAAGCGAACAGAGTCGCTGATATTCAAACGCTAGGTGAGAAGGTCGAGTGGAAACATGTTCGTTCGAAAGACAATCCGGCTGATTCACTATCCCGAGGACTGCTACCCAGGGAACTTTTAACTGACCCCCTCTGGCATTCGGGCCCTTCATGGTTAGCTCTTCCTGAAGATCAATAGCCTTCATCGGAAGAATCCTCGTTAGGTCATCCTCCAGGCGCGACAGAGGGAATTGCTTTATTCACAGCCTCTTCTGGAAGTAACGTCTACTCTCGTTTCTCCGATTACGGATGCCTTATTAGGTCCATCGGATATCTTCTCCGTTGGAGTAGAAGGGAATCACTACTAGACGATACCCAAGATGCGAATAAATCGCAACGAGGGATTCGTTACCTCTCCCAAGCCGAAATAGCTTACGCAGAACGCAAAATCCTTCTTGTCATCCAAAGAGAATGTTTTAGTTTCGAGATAAGATTGCTCAAGTCGACTACGAAATTAATTTCCAAAGGCCCCAACGGCGCTTATGAGCTTGAAGTTTCGAACGTTCGAGTTGAACGAAAATATCAAAAATAAAAATATAAATATATAATATAAATTATCGCTTCTAGAGAACGCTATACTTGTGTAGATGATGCAAATAATTTGATATATCGATTATACCCCTCACAACTACCCTTACAGTTGTCCATACATACCATGCTACACGTACATATAAAATTACTAGTCGTACTTTTCTATTAGACAAAAATAAAGTACTAAGAGGGACTGTTTCATAAAGTATATAAATATTGAAATATACGAATAAAGTTTAAGCGATCGCCAACCCTTAGTCTCACCCCCACAGCAGGCTATTTAGTAAAAATAAAAAAATTTACAAGTTATTTTGAGATGGTTTGTTATTAGACAAAAATTATTAACTAAAAGTGGTATATATATAAAGGATATCCATATATAGATGTGCGAAAAAAGTATAAGCGATCGCCCGCCCTTAGTTTCACCCCCATGGCCTTATTTACAATGGAAATTCCTGAAATTTACAAGCTATTTTATTCCGGTTTGTTATTAGACAAATATTTTTAATTGAAAGCGGTATAAATAATAAGTACATCCATATATAGATGTCCGAAAAAAGTTTAAGCGATCACCCGCCCTTAATTTCACCCCCATGTCCTTATATACAGAAGCAATGCGTGAAATTTACAAGTTATTTTATTCTCATTTGTTATTAGACAAAAATTTTTAACTCAAAGCGGTATAAATATTGAGTACATCCATATATACGAGGTGTGTTAAAAAAATAACGAGAATTTTCGTTTTATGAAAAAAATATTTATTTATTCATCTACATTAATGTTGTCGCCTTCAAAGTAGTCCCCTTCGGATACAATACACTTATGCCAACGCTTTTTCCAATCCTCGAAACACTTTTGAAACTCGATCTTTGTAATAGCTTTTAGCTCTTTCAGCGATTCGCTTTTAATGTCATCTATGCTTGTAAAACAACGGCCTTTTAATGTTCTCTTTATTTTTGGAAATAGAAAAAAGTCACATGGAGCCATATCTGGCGAATATGGAGGCTGAGGCATCGTTACAGTTTCGTTTTTGGCCAAAAATTCACGAACAAGCAATGAAGTGTGAGCAGGCGCATTATCGTGGTGCAAAAGCCATGAATTGTTTTGCCACAAATCCGGGCGTTTTTTTCGGATTGCTTCACGCAAACGACGTTGAACTTGTAGGTAGTACTGCTTATTGATTGTTTGACCTTGTGGCAAGAATTCATAATGCACTATGCCATAAAAATCGAAGAACACAGTGAGCATAACCTTCACATTCGACCGTACTTGTCGAGCCTTTTTCGGTCTTGGCGATCCAGAATGCCTCCACTGCGACGATGGAGCCTTAGTTTCGACATCATATCCGTAAACCCATGTTTTGTCACCTGTTATAACACGTTTTAGTAGTTCTGCATCGTTATTGACTTCATTTAGCGACTCCTGAGCAACTTCCATTCGCCGCTGTTTTTGTTCGAAATTCAACAATTTTGGAACGAATTTTGCTGCCACACGTTTCATACCCAAAACATTCGAAAAAATTTGATGGCATGAGCCAACTGATATGCCAACATCATCAGCGACTTCTCTGATTGTGATTCGGCGATCGTTCATAACCATTTCTTTCACTTTTTTCACGTTTTCATCGGTTGTTGATTTGCTTGGGCGCCCGGGTCGTTCGTCATCTTCAACGTTTTCGTGGCCATCTTGGAAACGCTTATACCACTCATAAATCCTTGCTTTACTCATAGCAGACTCACTATATGCCTTTGTTAACATTTGACAAACTTTACTACACTTTATTTCATTTTTTACGCAAAATTTAATACAAATTCTTTGATCCATTTTTTTTCACAAACGAAAATCGCCGAGCTCGAAAAACACGTCTAACGTTAGCGGCTGCCACTTAAAAAGTAAGCAATGAATATTGCTGAAAATTTTATCGTACTTCAGGGGCATGTGTACCAACATAATAAAAAAAAATTTTATACAAGCGGACTCTCCAAACCCGCGAAATTTAAAAATTCTCGTTACTTTTTGAACACACCTCGTAGATGTGCGAAAAAAGTTTAAGCGATCGCCCGCCCTTAGTTTCACCCCCACGGACATATATACAAAGGCAGTACGTGATATTTACAAGTTATTTTGAGATTGCTTGTTATTAGACAAAAATTTTTAACTTAAAGTGGTATATATATAAAGGATATCCATATATAGATGTGCGAAAAAAGTATAAGCGATCGCCCGCCCTTAGTTTCACCCCCATGGCCTTATTTACAATGGAAATTCCTGAAATTTACAAGTTATTTTATTCCGGTTTGTTATTAGACAAATATTTTTAATTAAAAGCGGTATAAATATTAAGTACATCCATATATAGATGTCCCAAAAAAGTTTAAGCGATCACCCGCCCTTAGTTTCACCCCCATGTCCTTATATACAGAAGCAATGCGTGAAATTTACAAGTTATTTTATTCTCATTTGTTATTAGACAAGAATTTTTAACTCAAAGCGGTATAAATATTGAGTACATCCATATATAGATGTGCGAAAAAAGTTTAAGCGATCGCCCGCCCTTAGTTTCACCCCCACGGATATATATACAAAGGCAGTGCGTGAAATTTACAAGTTATTTTATTCCGGTTTGTTATTAGACAACAATTATTAACTAAAAGTGGTATATATATAAAGAATATCGATATATAGATGTGCGAAAAAAGTTTAAGCGATTGCCTACCTTTGGTTTCACCCCCATTATTATTAGAAAAATATTATATTTAGGCAAATAATCCTACCAGTTGTGTTTTAGTTTTATCATATTTTACGACTGCCCAGCCTTACATGAGTCTGAAGTTTGTAACGTTATTCAATAACGAAAAAATCAAAAAAAAAATGACTAATTAATTATTTTTATTGGTTCAAAAGATTATTATAATGATATATATCAAGGTGATACATCGCAATTACTAAATTTACCCTTAAAACGGACCCTTAGGATATTTACATGGCAGACTATAGGGACATGGGATAAAATTGTATGTACATATTATTAACAAAAAAATATCGAGTAAATGAAAACTTTCGTTGTACATATTGATTATATGCACTTGCATACTACGTTTCATTTATCACCCTCAATATTAACTACCCTTACGGCCCTTAGAAATGCCAACTCCCAGCGAATTACAAAGATATTTCCTTCAGCATTCCCCAGCAACACAATATTTTTACATAAAAGGTGGTTTTCCTGATAGACAAAACTAAGGGCTATATGCATGCCAAGTTTCGTTTGTCGCGCTCCCTAATAACCACCCCTGCAGCCCTTAGAAATGCCAACTCCCGGCGAATTTCAAAGACATTTCCTTCAACATTCCCCAGCAACACAATATTTTTTTATAAAAGGTGGTTTTCCTGATAGACAAAACTCAGAGCTATATGCATGCCAAGTTTCGTTTGTCGCGCTCCCTAATAACCACCTCTGCAGCCCTTGGAAATGCCAACTCCCGGCGAATTTCAAAGACATTTCCTTCGGTATTCCCCAGCAACACAATATTTTTTTATAAAAGGTGGTTTTCCTGATAGACAAAACTCAGAGCTATATGCATGCCAAGTTTCGTTTGTCGCGCTCCCTAATAACCACCCCTGCAGCCCTTAGAAATGCCAACTCCCGGCGAATTTCAAAGACATTTCCTTCGGCATTCCCCAGCAACACAATATTTTTTAATAATTGGTGGTTTTTCTACAAGATCAATCTAAGGGCTATATGACTGTCAAGTCTCGTTTGTCGCGCCTCGGAACAATCACCCTTACAGTCCTTTGAAATTCCCGCTCAGAGGGAATTTCAAAGATAATTATTGCAGCATTCCCCAGCAACACAATTTTTTTCAACGAAAGGTGGTTTCATTAATAAATATTGGTAAGGTCTATGTGCGTGTCAAGTTTCGTTTGTCGCGCCCCTGAATAATCACCCCTTCAGCTTTCTGCAATATTCGCTCATTGCTAATTCAATGTAAGTATATCTATATTTTTTATTACTGAAATTTATTTGTCTAAATATTCCGCTTAGAATTATTAAGTGAACAAGGTGGCAATAAAAATACCTTATCAGTTCCTTCATTTATAGTGGGGTTGGTAGGGCCTTCGGCATAGTCGCCGCTGCTGCTAGAGCGACTATAAACAGAGTTATGCCTGGGAGAGAATCGAGCAATATCATCGCAAATAATTATCTATTATTGATACTATTCCACATTGTTAATGATGTTGAATAATTTATAAAAAATTTTAACATATAGTTAAATAAATTTATAAAATATATTGTCATATATATATATATATATATATATATATATATATATGGTCAGAGAAGTATCCTTTATTCTGAATGATATTTTTTGTAGAAAAATTGTATATATATATTACATATACAATCATTAATTAAGTTATCTTCCTCTAAATTTTTCAGGCATTGAGACCTGCACATTATGTTTACATACTTATAGAACTATTACACGATTTTACGTTTCGATATGTCTCCGTCATCTTGCCACTCATATATTTCCATATAATCTTTTCGACATAGCCCGAAATATTATATAGGTTAACTAACTCAAATTTTGCTATGCTTTGACAAAATTCATAATTTTACGTTTACCAATCTCATTCAAACTAAAAATTACTGTGATAATACGAATTGTCCTAATTGGGTGTATTATCTTTAATCAGTTTTAAAAGTAAGATTATTAAAACCAATGATTATTAATGAATTTCAGTAACATGCATGTCAATATGAAAATTAAAGTTAGAATTGGATATTTTTTCAATAAAGTGTACATCTTATTGTAAGATTTCTAATGTAATTTTATGATTCTTGCAAAAAGGAATATGTTATAGTGTTTTATTGAATCTTATTTTATTTAATTGAAGTAATTTCA